ATATATATATATATATATATATATATATATATATATATATATATATATATATATATATATATATATATATATATATACATATATATATATATATATATATCGTATATATATGGATATATATATATATATATATATATATGTGTATATATGCGTGTATATGTATATATATGTGTATATATATACATATATATGTATATATATATAGCTATATATATAGATATATAGATATATATATATCTATATATATATATATATATATATATATGTATATATATATATATATATATATATCTATATATATATATATATATATATATATATATCTATATATATATATATATATATACATATGTGGGTATATATATATATATATATATATATATATCTATATGTATATATATATGTATATACATATATATATATATATATATATATATATATACTATATATATATAGATATATATATATATATATATACATATATATATATATATATGTATATGTATATACATATATGTACATGTATGTATATATATATATAGATATATATATATATATATATATATATATATATATATATATATATATATATATATATATATATATATATATATATATATATATATATATATATATATATATATATATATATATATATATATATATATATATATATTATAACATTCATAATAATCATTAAATTATGCACTGACAGTAAACACTAATATCTGCAGCCAGTCCTCTTTCAGGGTGTCTGTTAGCTCCTCCCTCTTAAATCAAAAGCTTTAAAAAGTCTGTGTTTTTAGATTTTGTGTGATGCTTTTATACCATGAAATGAAAATAAAATGGTAATAAAAATTGTATTAAATGAAAAATTAAATAAATTAAAATAAAACAATGAAAGTGAAATAATAATAGTGAATAATAATAAGTGAAAATGGAAAAAAAGAAAAATTAAATGAATTAAAAAATTAATGAAAATAAAAATGAAAATGAAATTGAAAAAATGAAATAAAAATTAAATAAATTAAAATGAAATTGAAAAAATTAAAATAAATGAAAAAAAGAAAGAAAGAAAGAAAAACAAAACAAATGAAAATTAAATTGAAAATATTGAAAAATGAAATAAATGAAAATGAAATTGAAAAAAATGAAAAATGAAATAAAAAATGAAATAAGTTAAAATGAATTTGAAAAAAATGAAAAATGAAATAAATAAAAATGAAATTGAAAAAAAATGAAAAATGAAATAAAAAATGAAATAAATGAAAATGAATTGGAAAAAAATGAAAAATGAAATAAATGAAAATAAAAATTGAAAAAAATGAAAAATAAAATAAAATTAATTAAATTAATTAATAAAATAAATAAAAATAACATAATAACAAAATAAATAACAATGAAATGAAAAACATGAAAAATCAAATTAATGAAGAAAAATAAAAAAGGAAAAAAATGAAAATGCAATTGAAATATTGACATTAAAAAAATAATAATTTTCAAACATGAAAAAAAAATTAAATAAAATTTTAATAACTGGAAATAAAAACAAAAATGAAATTAATAAAAATAAAATGAAAAAATAAAAAAATAATAAAAAAATGTAAATGAAATAAATGAAAATAAAAAATGAGATAAATGAAAATTAACTTAAAAATGAAAGTAAAAAACCTTTAATTAAAATAAAAAATAATTGAAAATCAAGAAAACATTTTTATAAATGTAAATAATATAAAAATGAATAAGAAAAATAAGCATTTAAATTAAATTGAAAAAATAATAATTATAATAAATAAAGGAAAATAATATCATACAATTAAAAAATAAAATAAATGAAAATAAAATAATAATTTGTCCTTATGATCCACAATATCGTGAATAAAGTTACCGAGAGAGTTTAAATACTGAAGTACAGATATTTTTGCATTTACTTTATTTTTGTCTTGCATCTGTGCTTTGAATGTTTATCTTCTATTTATTTTCCCTCTCAGAGGTAGTTCTGAATTTACCTTCATCTCATTTCTGTTGATCTGCATGAGGCCTTAGTTTCCATTTAGCATAGGGAAAATGGTTTGAATTTCCTCCTGCGCTCAATAGCTATTTATTCTATATTGCCTTTATTTCCTTTTGAATACATTACGCCTTCATCGCTTCCAAGTTTACTCTATCTCTTTTTTGGGTACACTTGCGTTCAAAGCAGGGGCGATACACGAATGCATCATAAATACAAGGTGAAGTACAAGTTCTTTAAAATTCATCTGGCTTTGCTGTGAGGTGACAAGAAATTCGCAAACAAGAGTCCCGTCTGAACTTCAAAGCACTCGTTTTCTATCTGCTCTTCAGTTTCTGGTGTTAAAAAAAGAAAAAAAAGTTGTACATTTATATGATGAAAGTTGTGTGTTCCCCCAGTCGGCGTCATCCCATGGGGCTGATCATCGCTCTGGATGACAACAAGTCTGCGTCAGGAGAGCTATTTTGGGATGACGGAGACTCTCGAGGTATTTTTGAGAGAGCTGCTATTAATTAATTTTTTTTTTCTCTCTTGCACTTTTACTGTCGTAAATCAAGCTAATACAGATGTGTTTTTTCTGCAAGCCTGGTTTGGCCTAGTCAAAATTTAGACTTTTTTTCTTATTGTATTATCTACCAGACGAAAAAGTTCATGTAATTAACAAAAGTGATGTCAGTTTTTTTTTCTCTCTCTCTTGCATTTTGCTGTCAGAAATCTAGCTTATATGGGCTCAATAATACCGATTTTTTTTCCTGCAAGCCTGGGTTGGCCTAAAGCCAACAGTGGTGGAAGGAGTACAGAAAAATCATACTTAAGAGGACCATTACTTGCCTAAAAATGTATTGCAAGTAGAGTAAAAGTATCTGTTGTAAATATTTCTCAAAATATAAGTAAAAGATAGACCTTTCCAAAGTACTTTTTAAAAGAGTAGTGTGTATTATGCTGTAAAAAGGTGATGCATTTAGGATGTGTGTAAACGTAACATTCTGTAGTGCATTTATTGATTGCCCAGCAGGCACACAACGTTATAAGACATTAATATTAGGTTAGATTTAGGTCGAGATGTCAGGTTATTAAAATTCAATGTCTGCAGCGTCTAAGGACAAAGTTATTTTGAAGTTCAACACTGATGTCAAATAATGTTGATATTTGGTTGATTTTAGGTTAGAAAGTGATCAAAAGCCAACTTCAAACCAACGTCTTAAACCAGTGTCATTAACGTCAAATACTGACATTTATTCATCAGCTATGGCAACCGAAATCCAACATCTGATGGACATCATAGTGGTAACGTCCAGCTGTAACATCATTAGACACTGATTTTAGGCTGTATGTTGAACATTGACATCAGCCTGACTTTGGGTTCTGACGTCAACCCTGATTTTAATTTCCAAACAAAACGCAACATCCCCATGACGTTGGGGTACAGCGTCAATCTGACGTCATGTTGATGTCTTGTGTCTGCTGGGTGTTTAAGGTCATTTCGGTCATCATACAGTAAACATCCGTCATCTGCTTATGCGTGACATGCATCTAAACAGTCTCTGCGTCAATGCTTGTAAAGATCTTGAAAATCTTTTGGATACTTCTAATGCTTCCAAACAGTTTGCTTCAATTTTAAATCGTTTAATCGTTTTATAAATGTTTTGAGGTAGTTCATTATGATGCTATTTACCTTCTATGTGTGATTTGAATGGACAGGAATCACAGGACTGATTTTTCTAATCCTTATAGACAAGAAAAAAAAATAGTGACTGTAGGTTGAAGGAAAGTAGTGGAGTAAAAGTACAGATACAGCACTAAAAATGACCACAAGGGAAAGTAAAAGTACACATTTATATAAGTAAATTACAATTTCTGTGAGAAAATTACTCAATTGCAGCAATTTGAGTATTTGTAATTTGTTACATCACACCATTGAAAGTCAAAATGTAGACTTTTACACTTACTGTTTTTAGATACAAAGAAAAAAAAACAATATTATAAAAACAGGGATTTCAGTTTTTTATAGTGGGATTTCAGCTTTTTTGTTCGTCCCTAAAAGTATTTCTGGGGGCCCCAAAATGGCCCTTAGAACCATCCTTACTTTTTTCCGCCTAGCGTCGCCCCTGAATCTAATTAGTACACAGGTTTTTCGGCATGTCTGGTTTGTCCTAAAATTTAAAAAGAAATTGACATTTATTATTGTATTAGCTACCAGAAAAAAAGTTTTAGGGCCCAATCATACAACAATATAGTGCAAGATAATTGGTGCGATTTGTTGCTATTTTCAGACCAGCGCAACCCAGTATTCAGTTTTTTTTTTTTCTCTTGCACTTTGCTGTCAGAAATCTAGCTTAGATGGGCTCAATAATACAGATGTTTTTCTGCAAGCCTGGGTTGACCTAAAGTTAAAAATTTGACTTTTATTCTTACTGTAGTTGATACCAAAAAACTTTAATTTTGTTAACAAAAAGTATTTAAAAACACTTTGATCTCTCTTACAATTTGCTGACAGAAAAATATTTTATATCAATAATACAAATGTTTTTTGGCAGTTCTAATCTGGTTTGCCACTAAAGAGTTTGACTTTTTACTGTATTAGCTGTAAACAATTTTAATATTAGAATTGAAAAAAATAATTAGTAATAAAAGTAATAATTAATTCTCAAACATCTGTTTTTTGCTATAACTTTTAGACAAAATGAAATTTTAAATAAATAAATAAATTATTTAACTTTTATTTTTTTTATCATTTTAAATGTATTTTTATTGTGGTTTTACTTATTTAACATGTTTTAGTTCAGTTAACAAAAGTTAAATTTGTTTTAATCATCTATAAAAAATTGAGTTTGCAAAGTAGAAACATAAATGTGAGCAAAACATTTATTTTATCTTTATTGTTGAGCCACATAATAGGCCTCTGTAAACTTAATTATTTCATTTAAACAGGTTTCTAACATAAATTGTGTTACTCATGCTTAAATATGTCTTTTTCTTTTTCCTTTTAGATACTGTTTCATCTGGAAATCACATTCATTACCAGTTTTCAGTGACTGATGTATGTCATCCTAACATCACATTTATTTTTGTGATGACACATCATAAAAACCTATTACAATTGTAATATATGCATTTATCAAAATATCTTTATGTTATAATATAATATATAATATCTATATATTTTCTTTGCAGGGCTCCTTGACAATGCATGTCACAAAGAATGGATACTCAGATCCAAACAACCTGAAGTTTGAGAACATCACAATTTTGGGATTCAGCTCTGCTCCACCTTTTGTGCTGGTGTCAGACGGGACCACTAGTAACCCTTTGCCTCAGTCACAGATTCAATACGACTCTGTCAAGCAGGTAAAAGCATTTATTCACCACTAAAGTCAAAAGTAATACTATGTGTCCGGTTTTGCTTATAGCAATTGAAGTAGGAGATTCAATACTGTTAAGGTCAGAATTACTAGCCCACCTTTGAATTATTTTTTTCTTTTTTAAATATTTCCAAAATGATGAGTAAAACAGCAAGGAAATGTTCACAGTATGTTTGATAATATTTTTTTCTTCTGGAGAAAGTCTTATTTGGTTTATTTCGAGTAGAGTAAAAGCAGTTTTAAATTTTTTAAACACCATTTTAAGGACAAAATATTAGCTTCTTTAAGCTATTTCCGATAGTGTACAGAACAAACCATTGTTATACAATAACTTGCATTTAGGATGTGTGTAAACGTAACATTCTGTAGTGCATTTAGTGATTGCCCAGCAGGCACACAACGTTATAAAACATTAATATTAGGTTAGATTTAGGTCGAGATAATAAACAGGGGTCGAAAAATTTAGGGGGGCTAATAATTCTGACTTCAACTATATACAACAGTTCTGTCTGGTTCTTGAAACTGATTGGCTGATAGCTGTGCGATATTCTGCCAGTAACAGCACTCGTACCGCCTCTTCACCCTTTACCCTTGTGTATTACTCCGCCCACATACAGCAACAAGCAGAAAGCACTCTACAGTTTGACAAATATTCCTGCTGTTGGACAACATAAAGTACTTTTGAGGCTTTTCAGTCGAGAATATAGTTGTGTAGATTACAACTATGCAGTTTATTCATAAGGATAGTGCCTATTTTAAAATATTTATAATTTCTGAGAGACAGCGTCGGTAGCTATTAGCCTGTCTTTGAGCAAAGACGATTGATGATGTTCGTCAACAAGATGGCAACAGAGACCGCTTAATAAGAAAAAACAGTGTGATTTCAAACTACAGCTGATGTACAGCTACAGCCTTCTAAGTCGATTTTTCTCTTTTGTATGTTGTTGTGCTGTATTTATACCATAATATTGTGATCTTCCGATTGCAACAGAGAAATACTGGGAAATCTCTGTAGACTTATGGCATCTGTACGATGCGATCTGTATATTGTTACAGTTTGGGACACTAAGGCAATGCCGGCCACCCATCAGTGCCCCGTTATACAGCCACATCGCACTGCTACTCGTGTGATATTGCTCATATATATATATATTTATATATATATTAGCAATATCACACAAGAAGCAGTGCGATGTGGATGTATATCGGCACTGGTGGGAGGCGTGCGTTGGCATGAGGCCGCAGGCCGAGTGCCTTAGTGCTCCCACCAGTGCCGATATGCCAAAATTTTGTACGAGGAACTACTGTCTTCCACGTTGGATTCAAATCATAAGCTGACAGCCAAACAGCTGAGCAAGCATCTTTTAAACTTTAGATCTGTAGTGTCTGCTTTTTGCTGGCTGTATGTGGGTGGAGTAATACACAAAGGGTAAAGAGGCTGTATGGGTGCTGATATTACTTAAATATATCACAGCTATCAGCCAATCAGATTCGAGCACCAGACAGAACTGTTGTATAAATATACAAATTTACAAATATATAATTTTTTTAGTAAAATATACACATTTATCTTAAACGAATGTATAATGCAAATTCACAAGAATTTTGCTTTGGTGGATGTAATTGAATTTTGCTTGATGAACTAAAGATAGATGCATAGAATATTCTGATTACATTGACAAAGCTTTTGTTTGAATGTATGGCTCAGTGATGAGTTTGTTTTGGATGCAGATTGCTTAAAGTTAGCATGAAAAGTTTAATAATGCAGAAGTATGAAAACCACGATCAAAGACCAAACTCTCAGTGAAATAGCCTAGTGGTTAGTGTGCCAACATATGGTGCAGAAGCATGTCAGGGTGTCCTTTGTTCGAATCCCGGCTTGAGGACATTTTCCTTTGCCTCTCTCTCTCCCACTTGGCTTCCTGTCTCAATACTGTCCTATCTAAAAAAGGCCAAAAAAAGTCTTACAATAAAACTAAAGCCTGCTAATGTATTTTGAGGTAATCAGAAAATAAATAGGATTAATTAATTATAGTTTGTCTGTACACTGGTACTGTAAATATCACTTTGAAGTAGACTTGCAAGTATTGCACTTTAAAATGTGTATTATAATTAGAGCTGTCAAAAGATTAATCACAGTTAATTGCATTTAAATTTACAAAAAAAAAATAATAATTATATATATATATATAAATATATATATATATATATATATATATATATATATATATATATATATATATATATATATATATATATATATATATATATATATATATATATATATATATATATATATATATATATATATATATATATATATATATATATATATATATATATATATATATATATATATATATATATATATATATATATATATATATATATATATATATATATATATATATATATATATATATATATATATATATATATATATATATATATATATATATA